TGTCCAACAGTGTTTGTTTTATGAAACTGAATGTACCAACATTTGGTATGTCCATATTTATATCACTTTGTCTTCCTGATGGATTGTTCTCTATATTAATTATACCATGACCTTTATCTCTCCTAGTCTGGGCTATAAATCTACTCTGTTAAGCTTGACTATAACTAATGCAACTTGCTTTCAGATTCTGCTTTTGTGATGTATCATGTTCTATCCTCTCCTTGTAAATATTTGTATTTGTTAGTGAAGTCTTTATAAAAAGACCTTATTGTCATGTGCATGAGTGCTTTCCCTGCATACATGTATATGTACCAAATGCACACATAGTATCTAAGGAGGCCAAAAGAGGATGTCAGGTACAGAGGGTTGTGAGCAGGTTCTGGAAACTGAACCACAGTTCTCTGCAAGAGCAGCCAGTGCTTTTAACCTGGGAGCCATCGCACCTGCCTTGGGGTGTGCTGCTTCAAAACATACTAGACAAACCTGGTTTATTAATCCAAATACCCTCACTTTGCCTTTTTAAATGGAGAGTTAAAACCATTTTCATTTAAAGTTATTACTTTGTGGTATGTGCTGGATGAGTCTTGTAATTTATTATTATTATTTTTATTATTATGAACTCAAATACTGTGTCTTTTTCTTTCCCCCCTATTAATTTTATGAGTTTAAATGTTGGACTTTTACCTGATTTCCTGATTCATGTGTGATATTTGTCCTTTCATGAGCTCCCATCATCCAGAATATCTCTCCTTCTCATCCATGTGTATGGTTTCTCTAACTACTTTTAGCAACTCTACCTTGGTGATTGTATGTTGCTCTAGTTCGTGCTTTTTTTAGGAGGTGTTTATTTCTTTGTTGATTTTTAAATATCCACTGTGATAAGATGATCTTGACTGGTAGTCATTTGCTCTCAGAAATTACAAACATCGTGTTACACTCTACCACTGACCTCATTCCATTGGGCTTGCCTTCAGAAAGCACTCATACTGCTCTCATGCAGCTGTGATATTGTTCCTTTGCTCTGGACTCTTGGCATTTTAAATAAAATGTGACACACAGAGAGTCTTTCTAATCACAATCATGTGGGGCTCTAAATCTTTCCTATACCTGCACATCCTATTTGTACCCTGCATTACAGATAATTTCTGCTAGAATTTAATTAAGTTAGTTTTGTTAAGCTTTTAGTTTGGATCTTAATTCCTTCTACCTCTTAGTTTCTTGGGTTTAGTCTCTTTACCACATCTTAAAATTCTTGAAAATTGTCACTTTGATTGCCAATTTTTCTATCTAGATGTAACAATTCCTTAACCTTTGTCTTAGTTACTGTCTTTATTACTGTAAAAGAAAACAACATGACCAAGTTACCTTATAAAAGAACCCTTTACTCTGAGGTAATATCTGTCTGTGAGTTTGAGGTGTGTTTCTTATATGCAGCAGGACGGATTCTGTTTTTGTATCCAATCTGTTAGCCTGTGTCTTTTTATAGGTGAATTGAAATCATTTACATTAATGGATGTTAGTGACCAGTGGTTGCTATTTCCTGTTACTTTTGTTTTTGTTGTTAGTTATCGCATTGTGTGTGTATTCGATTCCCTTTTTGGGATTTGCTGCTGTAAGCTCATCTATTTCCTGTGCTCTTGTGGATGTAGGTGATTCCCTTGGGTTGTCGTTTTTCTTCTAGTATTTTCTGCAGGGCTTGGTTTGTGAATATGTATTGTTTAAATTTGATTTAATCATGGAATATATTGTTTTTCTGCATCTATGGTTATTAAAAGCTTTGCTTGGTAAAGTAGTCTGGGCTGGCATCTTTGATCACTTGGTATCTGCATAACCTCTGACCAGGACCTTCTGGCTTTCATTGTTTCTGTTGAGAATTAAGGTGTAATTCTGATAGGTCTGCCTTTTTATGTTATCTGGCCTTTTTCCTTTGCAGCTCTTAATATTCTTTCTTCATTCTGTATGTTTATTGTTTGGGTTATGATGTGGTGAGGGAACATTTTTTTGGTCCAGTCTATTTGGTGTTCTGTAAACCTCTTGCACTTTCATAAGCATGTCTTTCTTTAGGTTGAGGAAGTTTTCTTCTATGATTTTGTTGACTATATTTTCTGTTACTTTGAGTTGGATTTCTCCTTCTTCTATCCTTGTTATTCTTAGGTTCCATCTTTTTCATGGTGTCCCAGATTTCCTGCATGTTTTGCATTAAGGATTTGTTGGATTTGAAATTTTCTTTGACTGATGAATCTATTTTCTCCATGTTATCTTCAATGCCTGAAATTCTCTCTTCCATTTCTTGTATTTTGTTGTTTATGCTTGCATTTGTGGTTGCTGATTATTTACACAGATTTCCCATTTCCACAATTACCTCAGTTTGTGTTTTCTTTTTATTTCCTCTATTTCAGATTTCATGTCTTGAATCCTTTCCTTCACTTGTTTGATTTCTTTTTCTTGGTTTTCTTTAAAAGATTGACTGATATCTTCATTTTTTTGTCTTTTCCTTCATTTCGTTAAGAAAATTGTCATTTCCTCTTTAAGGGCCTCAATCACACTCATAAAATTATTTTTATGTCATTTTCTTCTACTTCATCTGTGTGGGGATGTTCAGGTCTTGCTGTTCTAGCACCAATAGTTTCTAGTTGTGTTGAATTACTCTTTATACCGTTGAGTGTGTTCTTACCATGTTGTCTACACATCTCTTCCTCTAATCAGTATAGGTGGAGATTCTGCATCAAGAGTCTCTCTTTCTCCAATTGGTATAGTTGAGGGCTGTGACTCTGTTGATTGCTCTTTCAGGACAAGCAAGCAGAGCCTCTGGTGAATGCTCTTCCTTGTGGAAGTGGGCCCAATGCTGAGGTGGTCATTCCTTAGGTGCAGGTAACCATCACTTGTTTGAAAAAGACATTAATGAAAAATCTTATATCCTGTAACACCAAGTTTCATAGACAAGGGTAAAATGAAGAGTTTATGTCTAAACAAAAGCCAAGAGAACTTCCTGTAGTCTTGCCCCAAAGCAATGTTGAAGTAAAATCCTCAGTCTGAAGCCTGGAGATACCAGGCATTAATCTATTAATCTGAACCTCTTCCAAACAACACAGCACCAGAAAATGTAATTAGGTCATTATAAAAGAGTTTGAGGTAGGCACTTCTTACTTATACTATCTCTGTAAGTTCTTTAAAAATAAGTAACATTCTTGTTAATACTATCACTTAAAAGACAACTATATAAAATTGTACTATATCATAGTACCATTAGACCTAGAACATACACAAAGGCAAGCATCATTCTGTTCTTTTTGGGGGGGGGTTATGAGACAGGTTTCTCTGTATTGTTTTGGAGGCTGTCGGTCCAGCCTGGCCTTGAACTCACAGAGATCCGCCTGCCTCTGCCTCCCGAGTGCTGGGATTAAAGGCATGTGCCACCACCACCCGGTGGCAGGCATCATTCTTGACAATGATAACATAAAGGCAGATAACAACAAAGCAGAACTAGATCAAGAACTGACACTTCTCAATAACGTGCATCCCTGGGATCAAATGAACATAAGGAGAGTGGCAAAAACTTAAGTTATGGCTATTTTGGGATAACCACGTAGATCATAATAATCAAGTTGGTATAAATCTAAAATCAATTCTCAGAAATTCAGACATATATATATATACATATATATATACATATATATACACACACATACATATATCCTGTAACAAACCACTATAAATATAAATTCAAAAAGCAAAACATTTAACAGTTATAAATATGTATACTCTTAAAAACAGAGTACCAAAATACACAAAAAAAATACTAAAAGAATTTAGCAGAGGCAATTTAACAATAGTAATTGGTGACTTCAATATCTACTTCAATAATGAGCAGAAATGGGCAGAAGACTGACATGGAAATAGAAGATTTAACCAAAATTGTAAGTCAACTAGAATGAATAAGCATCTATAGAACACACTGCACAAAAGAAGAAACAACACCCATGTTTAGCATACCTCTACCATTTTCCATGAAACAAGAGAAAGCCTATACAACTTGTAAAGGATTCAGATCATACCAAGTATGTTGCCTAATCTCTCTCTCTCTCTCTCTCTCTCTCTCTCTCTCTCTCTCTCTCTCTCTCTCTCTCTCTCACACACACACACACACACACACAGACACACGGAGGAAATAATAAATGAATACAAAAACTTAGGCACTCATAAATATGTCCAAATTAAGCAACATACAGTTAAATGACAATTAGGTTCAACATAAAGGTGCAAATTGGATAGAATACATTAAAGTGGATGAAAATTTTAAAGTATCATTTTAAAATCTATAGGCTGCTGCAAAGTGCTCAAGGAAGACTTACTAATGTCTTGATTTAAAACAGAAAAATCTCGTTAATAACCTAATCTTAAGATAATGAAAAATGTAGTGCTTAAAACCACAGTAAGCATCAAGTAATGAAAGAAAATGCAGATCACAACAGAGAAACGCACAATAGAGAAAAACAAAATCAAGCTTTGGAAGGATTAGCAATATTGGTATGCTTTTGGAGAGACTGAACAACACCAAAGGGAGAGACTCCTATTGAAAGTGTTCAATGGTAGTGCCTGACGACCCAAGTTTGATTCCATCCCCAAAGTTGATATACCAGAGAGGACCAATCCCTCAAAGTTGTTCTCTGATTTCCATATTCACACAGTGGCATATGTGTGCCTACACACATAAAACACAGGCATTTTTCCCAACTGGAAGACTGACATTCTCTGAAACCAATATTCCCTCACACACCATCAGGTTCATTAACAACCACAAGTCAGATGTGAAATATACATGGAAGGCACTTCAGTCTGTTGCCTTTTCTCTGAATCTCAGGATTGGTGAAATTCACCACACATTCCCAGTTAGTGCCCTCCTTTACTTCTGCTCTAGACAGGGATTCTCCAACTTCAGGTCCCATTGCCTAACTTCTGATTTTATTTCCCACTCACCATCAGAGTAATATAGATTTGAGAACATTTATTTACAATTTTATTGATGAACAAATTAGACTTTCAAATCCATTCATAACAACATACTCGAGTTTCCATTCTGAACCAGTGGCAATGAGCCCTTGAAGGGGTTCTTCATATGTGAAAATATTGGTTGGGCTTAGTAGTACACACCTTTAATTCCAGCATAGCCAGGTGGATCTCTGTGAGATAAAGGCCAATCTGATCACCACAGAGATAGATACCCAGAATAGTCAAGGCTAGACAGTGAAAACTTCTCTCAAAATAAGTAAATAAATAAAGATAGAAAGGAAGAATATAAAGAATATTAAGCTTCACCATTGATACTAATATTAAATGGTCATTTAAGAAAATACTCAGAAAATAAATTTGGTTGCTTTGTTAAATTCTTATCTTAGACTAGAGGATAAACATGTGACAGCTAGCTATCACACTGGAAGTCAATCATGCTGGTTTTTGTAGTTACATTTTCCACTTTATACATTTCGGGGTCAGATGGGTAAAGACTGAAGGAAGTATGAGACATAAAAACCAAGAGCTCAAGTCCAGGTCCATCCTGTAGGACATGGACATCTGTGCATGACTGTGTCCCAGGCACTGATCTACCAAAGAAGCACCAGGTGTGCCGTTTAACTGGCCAAGCATGAAAGCCTGTAGATCTAGTCCATTAATTATAAACTACAATGCACCTGCAGCTATGTCTCCTAGTGCTAGCCTGGATGATGCGAAGGTTTAGAGTCAGGATTGTTTTGTTTTGTTTGTTCGTTTGCCTTTTATTTAACCTATACTTTGCCATTTCATTTTTTAGCAAATGCTAGAAACACAAAAAACAAGTATCCAGGGCCTCTCCTTGCCATTGGGAGCCTTGCCTGTGGCTTCTCTGTTGTGTTCTGGGGCTATGGATCCTTCTCATCTCCCACTTTCCTCAGGACCATGACTCCCGTCTTCCTTCCTGCTCATGACTCTACAATGAACCATCTTTGTTTCTGTTTTCTGGAAGGTCTATTGTAATTTTTTAAAATTGTATTGTTACCATTAATGCTCTTGCTACCTAACAGATCTAAAATCTTCTCAACAGCTGCCTCTCTATCTACCACCACAAAACCCCTCCAAATTAAGGTTGTTACTAAAGCCGTTTGTTTTGTCAACAAGTATAGTCACTTTCTATTCATTAAGTTCTTGCTGTTTGCTAGCATCTCTACTGCTTTGCATCATTCTGTCATATTGAAATATGACTAAAGATGTGCTTAATGGACAGCCACTCTTAAAATAAGAATATGCTCAAGCCTGTCTTGCCGCAACACAGAAGTTCAATCTAGAGATTAAAGAATTGTGAAGTCTTACAAAGTGTACAATACTAAATTAATATAGTGTAATATTGAATTATATTCCCACTATGCAAAACAAAGCTATCACGATTTCACTCTTCCTATTTATTTCTTGTGTTATTCTTAACTTCGTAGAAACCATAGTTTCAGATATGCTCTATTAGATTCAATTAAATTCTTTAAAATATAATATATAAAGTATTTTTCATTAATTCCAAAATTGTTTTCATTAACAAACAAGCTTGATATTAAATTTGATATGATTGTTAAAAAAACACACAAGATAATTTTATGACTCCTTCATGTTGTATTTTGAAGTTCTAGGCTGTTGTAGATCAAAACTCTTATTTTATTATCAAGAATTACAATAGGCTGGGATGAGCATAGTTTCTAATACAGACAGAAAATGAATAACTTGGCTCTGGAAGTGTGGAGGGTTTCTTTTGTCTCGTATTGATGTATGATAAAGTCATATTAATAGGTCTAAAAACTACTTACATTCTTTGTACACATTACAATAAGCAGTGTGTGCAAAAGTCTGAATACCAGAAGCTGTGGTGTGTGCACATACACTGAGCTTCTTTACAGTGAACAGCCACTTCTAATGTTTCATAATAGCATGTGTGCAGACAATGGTCACAGATATCCATTAAAGCTGGAGTAGCTGACGATAATGCGGGCTTGAGGGTTAAAATGGAGCTGCCACTCAGGAGTTTCCAGTCCTCATCCAAGGGCTCCATGGGACCATTGTCTTCCTCCTTCAGGCAAGAAAATGAAGCAGTTAGATCATTGCCCCCCTAACACAGCAAACAGCGTTTCTAGAGTCCAACTACAACAGAAAAAAAGTTAAACATGAGAGAATGTAGAAATTTTAAAATATCTTCACAGGTTTGCTATCATTGTAATTTTCTTACAAGGTCTACATAATTTTGCTTCTATGTCAGAAAGAATTAGAGTACCTTGTCACAGCCACAGGTACTTTCAGCCAACTTAATATTTGAGTAATATTGTAAATGAAACACTTACATGTCTGGTCTAATAAATAAAAATGAATAATAAAAAAGCTAAAAATTACAAATATAACAGAAAGAAAACTGAATAAATTTTATTACATTGCATGATTTTAGTGTAGGTGCAATGATAAGAAACAGGTTAATAGCTCAATATCAGATGTACCTGGAATGACCAAATGTGGCTGGATTAACCTGTCTTAGGCAGAATAGTTGTTTGTATTAATAGTTGGAGCTGGCCTCTGTGTGGAATTTATTATTTGTATATCTGTGCTTTCTAACAATTTTTCTTAAGGAACACATGTACGTTCAGAATCACAGGCTTTTTTTTTGAAGGACGAACTGTGGACACGGTCTTCATTGACACTGACATCATGGATCCATTGTCCTGATATTCTAAACAATCAGCATTTTACTCTTAGGAATGATCAAAACCAACACAAGACAGTGAACTTGTAAGGTCATAAAGATAGCTAAGCTGAGAAAAGGCCAGAATCAGTAGAGTAACATGGTGAAACCTGTCCTAAGGCCACCATATTAAGATATCATCCTAACCATGAAAATAGAGATTAAAATTAATGATGGGAAGACTTTCTTTCGAAACAAAATGATCTAAGTAATAAACTGAATATCAAAAAATTTTTAAATGAAGCTTTAAATTGCTCAGTTTCGTGTATAATGATCACAGCTGGATAGTAACCACTTCCTCCTGGTCCTAAAGCATCTTAAAGGTCCTACTAATTGCTAATTGCACAGTAACATGCAAACTAATACAGGGCACAGTACTTTGGGAGTATAACAATCCACAGGTTTCCCAATGTGGTTGTTTGAAAAGAATGGTCCGCACAGGCTCATATGTCTGAATACCTGGTTCCCAGTTGGAGGAGCTATTTGAGAAGGATTAGGAAATGGGTGGAGGTGTGTTACTGGGGGCAGGCTTTGAGGTCTTAATAGGCCAGAACATTCCCCATTAGCTCTCTCTGCCTCATAGTCAGGCCTCAAGATGTAAAATTTTAGCTATTGCTCCAGTGTCACACCTGCCTGACTGCTGCCATGCTCCCAACCATGATGATGTAGACCCAGCATGCTGCCTGACCCAAAGCAAATGCTCCAAGGAAGAGTGTACATATGCATGTGTACACACTGCACACACATGTACATAAAGTACAGGAAGATGACAGCAGCAGGTGTTCTATTTTACTTTTTCATTTCTCTCAAAATTATATCGAGGCCATTTAACCAATTAAATAAGTAAAAATGCTTGCTATGAATACTACCTGTTTTCTCTCTCACATGTCAGCAACTTTCCAATCAATTCTTTCCATGGATGCTTTTGTGATTACAACGATCATGATCCTAAGCACACCATCCAATTTGCTTAAGTGTTAGGTGTTGACTGTCCCAAGGGGAGATTTGAAGTTCTTGCCCTAGACAGCCCCTCCTCCCCCTCCACACAGAGGCACACCACCCAAGACAAGTGAATCAGGCCTTACCACCATCCCTCCCTGCAAATTTATTTACCCTGTAATTTTGGTTGAAGAACTATTTTATATTATAGTAATGATAAATAATATTGAGAATGAACTATGTGTTTCACTTGTTTTTTTTTCTTTTCTGCATGTTGCTTTCTCTGAATTAGCTTCTTAGATTTTTTATAATTAATTCAATCTAATGCTACCTACCAATTTCCCTACTTGCCTCAAGAAATTAAGAAATATCTTGTGGCCAGAAAGAGTGACAAACACCTTTCACCCCAGCACTAGGAGGCAGAGGCAGGCAGATTTCCTTGAGTTCCAGGCCAGTATGGTCTACATAGCAAGTTCAAGTCCTACAAGGATGCATTTGCACCTTTTGCAGAAACCTCTTCTAGAAGCTCATCCCCACCTCAGCTATCTCTGCACTGACTGACATCTGGGATCTCACTCCACAAACTGCCATCCTGGGCATTCCCCTTGTGAGTCATCTGGGAAATAGACTGTCTTTTTAACATTGCACCGGACACTGGGTTGGGAGGAAGAAACCAGACACTGAGAGTTCTCAGGAAACAGTTCCTCCACCCTATCCTAATGAGGCAGCCTAAAGTCCCTATTATCAACTCTTTTGAGTGCTTTCCACAAGGTAAGTACTTCCAGCCTTTTGCCAGGCCTTAGAAGGGGATTTTAAGGTATAACTGCATCTCAAATGGTATCCAACCAACACAGCTAACATAAGCTTCTTTGCCTTCTGATGTCCGGAAACATCTGCTGCAAATTCCCAGGACCCTGAGAACACATCTGCTACCTCTATCACTGTGCTACCATGTGCTTCTGGCTTCTAAGGTACTGGCACCTTTGTCTTTCCTCTTGCTTTCCCATCCTTGTGAGTTCATACATCAAAGAAGTCCCCTTTTCTATTATTTTAATGTGATTGGTGCTAAAAACAAAATTGTCAATGGTCAATCAGTGATCATTATTTATGACAAACATTCCTTTTGATGCATCCTGTGTATTTTCTAAACTCTTTCTGATAACCATGTCATCTGGTCATCAGAACATGAATCTGTTTGATAAGGCAATCTAAAGAAATGACAAATAGAGAGAGGTAATCAGGCTTGCATTCTCCTCTTTGGGATGTCTTCCAAATACCCATTTGTCTAAATATAAACAGAAAAGCTTAAATGTAGAGGGATTTTTTCTGGTCTGCAATGATTATTATGCACAATAATAACCTTGAAGTATGACCACATTCTAAAGAGTCTGTTAAATCATCAATTCTTTCAATATAATTATAACAGATGTTATCTTTCATATGCCTATTTTGAACCTTAATTTGTCTTAAATGAAGAGACCCCAGGGAAAGTGTGCAATTCAGATCCCTTTAGAGAATTTCCTAAAAAGCTATGAACAATACAAGTGCACGTGTGCACACATCCTGCCCCTCAGAGGCTGCCGAAGGTCAGAGGCTCATGTGAGGGACAAGAAGTCTGACTCAGCCGACTGTCTGTCTGTCTACTAAAGTATCCCTTTTCAAAACATCAGCGTGGCCCACAGAATCAGCTAAGCAGAGTTCAGAGGGTTCACAGAGGCTGAACCCACAACCACAGAGCCTGTAGGGGGTCTGAGCTAGGTCCTCTGCATATACATTATAGTTGGATAGCTTGATGCCTTGTAGAACTCCTAATAGTGGGAGCAGGGGCTGTCTTTGACTCTTTTGTCTGCTTTCGGGACCCTTTTCCTCCTACTGGGTTGTCATGTCCAGCCTTCAGGCATGTCTAGCTTACTTTAACTTGTTATGGCATACTCAGTTTATATCCCTGGAAGGCCTGATCTTTTCTGAAGGGAAACAGAGGAGGAGTATATCTAGGGAGGTGGGGAGATGTGCATGTGGGGGAGGAAGGCTAGCAAGAGAGGAGGGAGGAGAAACTGGTCAGGATGGAATATATGAGTGAAGAATGAGTAAACAAACACTAATGGTGACACGGGGCTAGTTATGGCTCAGCAGTTAAAAGCGCATTTGTTCTTGCAGAGGATCAGGGTTTGGTTCCAACACCCAGGACATGGGTCACAACAATTCCAACTTCAGTTCAGGGAATTCAAACTCCTTTTCTGGCATTTAAAGAACCATACACACACACACACACACACACACACACACACACACACACACACACACACACAGAGTATACATACAGATATATAGGCAAAACACTTGTACACATACAATAAAGAAATCTTTTTTTAAAAAAAAGAAATGGTGATTTCCTGGACACTAGTGGCACATCCTTGGGGAGGTCTGTACAAGCTCCTCTGGCTTGAACTTAGCTATGAACACCTGCCTCAGCCCTAGGGTGAAAGCTACTGCAGGTAGCTCAGAACCGTCATGTATGCGTGAGTTTTTCTGGCTCATCTGCCTGGTCGTGCCACCACTTCAGCTCCAAATGAACATATAGACACTATATTAATTATAAAGCTGTTGGCTGAAGGCTAGGGCTTCATACTGGCTAGCTCTGTCTTAATTATTAACCCATAACTACTAATCTATGTATTTCTACATGCTCTTATCTTACCAGAGAACGCCTGATAATTGCACTCCACCAACACCTCCCAAAATTCTCCTCATCTTCTAGACCCGCCTATCATGCTGCCCTATTGGCCAACAGTGTCTTATTTATCAATCAATAAGATAAATACATACAGAAGGACAACCCCATCACAGTCACACACGAAAGGAAGAGGTCGAAATTCAGTGTGCTTCTATTATAAGCAAGGGCATGTAGCTGCTTTTCCAATATAGCCACCAATTATAGAAAGGAAAACAAGGAAACACCAAAGAAGAGACAGGAAGAGACCAGGAGCTGTGGTTGTTGTTGAATACTCCAAGGAGACTAGGAGTGGCAGTCATTTTTTAATACTCCAAGGAAAGATATGGGGAACAAGCGTCTGGGCTTAGAGATCCAAGCATCAGAAATAAGAACAGAAGACAACACAGTTAATTACTTAAAATTCATAGAAGTATCCATTGATGCAAAGGAGTAAGAATTATTCAAATTAGAAACACATAAAATTGTTACTATTGACAAATACTACTATAGTTTAGTTAGAAAACTCAAAATAAGTAACTAAAAGTCATTAGAAACTATATGAAAGGATCATTAGAGAAGTGGGACTGGCCTAACAAATTATGTTTTCCACAAAATATTAATCAATATGAAAATAAAATGGGAAAAGATAGTAGTCAATACAGACCATCAAAAGCATCATGGTTACAGT